AACTGCTCCTTCACATGCATGCATGCTCTGAAAAGGAAAACACACTGAGAATATGCCTACGTAAACATCTGCACAAGTTTTAGAAAGTCATAACTGTTAAATTAAACATCCAAATTAAATTCGGATTATACCATCATGTTTCTTGCAATAAATCCTTCAAAACAAGATCTCATATGGATATACTTAAATAAAATTTTATAACAGACATTTATCTTGTGAAGATAGAATATTTTTTTGAGTAGAAGCAATGTTTTAAGTTTAGAAAAACAATGTTCCGCCTTTATAAGAAAAATATTCTCGATTTACGAGAACAATATTCTAGTTATAGGTTCATTGAATTGGTAATATAATAACCATGAAAATAAAAAAATAATAACAAAGACTATAAGTATATATATAAACAATAACAATAAATAAATAAATAAATAAGTACCATAATATAAATAAAAATAATAAAATTTAGAGCAAAGCAAAAGCGAAGCAAAATAAAACATCACATTATACTATGGGGAACATTATAAAACATATCATAAAACATCACATGTATGCTATGTGAACATCACATATATATAACATGGACATCACAAACACATAATAGAAAAATGTATATTAGGTGAACATCACAAAATACAACAAAGAACATCGTATGATGCTACATGAAACATCATGAAATACGTCATAGAACATAAAATGTATACTATGTGAACATTAAAAATATATCATAGAACATCGTATGTATATAACGTAAACATCACATAATACGTCATAGAACATCATATGTATAATACGTGAGCATTGCAGAATACATCATAGAACATCGTATATATACTAACATCAAATGTATCTCATATAATATAAATAATAAATAATAAATAATAAAAATACAATAAAATATTAAAGTAATTAATTAGAGTAAATAACTAAGTAAAAAATTTCACATAGAAACATGAATAACAAATGAAAATATATAGAAAATAAAATCAATGAATAACTTAAATAAGAAAGGAAAAAAGAAAATTTAAAAAATTATATAATATATGTGTCTTATCTAACACATGAAATGAAAAACTTTAAAATAAAAACAAAAATAATTCATATAGTAATTTTAAAAAATAGTACAAAAAAGAAAAAAGAAAAGGAAAAAATAAATAGAAATAGAAATAGAAAAAAGCAAAAAGATTAAGAAAATGAGAAGAAGAAAAAACCACACAAGAAAGAAAAAGAAATACTCCTATAAGGAAGGAAAGAGAAAAAAGATAAACATACCAACCTATGGGTGAACATAGGAAAAACAAAATTGAAATCAAAAGAAAAATTAGAGTACAACAAAAAAGAAATAAAAGAAAGAGAAAATAAAATAGAGATAAAAAAGGCAACGTAATAAAACAAAAAACAAATATAAGAAAAAAATAAACGTATCTGGGTTTCCAGACACATGCACTGCTTGCTCCGCATGTTGCTTTTACTGGGCCTAGAGAAAAAGTCAAAGAAGCAGCCTAACTGCAGGTGTGGTGCTCGCGAGGACGGGAGCGCGGGAATTGGTGCTCGGCGGACGGGAGCGCAGGAACCATACTCGGCAGACGGCTCCTGTCCGAACGTTCGGACGGGAAGAATTCCGCTGTTGGAGGCCTATTTTACATCAAAATTTCTAAATTGGATTGCATGACAAGGGATAGCTAGTCTGTTGAACTTGCTCGTGGATAAAAAAAAACCATTTTAAAATATTTGCTGGTGAGTGGTGACCCAAAGGTGTTTTATGAAACTCTGATTAGGCTAGAAGAGCTGCTAGTGCTTGTCACTGCCATGCGGGGAACAGGTGTCTGTGGGGCCCGCATGGCAGTGGCGGAGTGCGAGGTGAGCCGTGTGACGCCCTCTCTTGCCTTTGACTTTGCACGAGGTCGACTGGTCGAGAGACGGAGGAAGATGGGGCACTCGTGCGTGGCACGCCGGCACTGCGCGCCTGCCCGGGCGCGGGCGCGGGGAAACGATGGTTGTGTTCGTGTTCGACGAACGACAGGGGAGTTGTTGGAGGAGCCGGGGAGGACGAGGGAGGAGGGATATTTGCCGCAGCGACGGCCACCACACCACACACGTGTGCCCGGTCTCTGCATTGCAGAATTCCGGCGAGGAAGAGCAGCCACGGTGGAGGTTTCGGGTGATCCGTGCACCCATCGACGTCAACCTCACCGAGGCTATCCTGCCTCGCGTCCTATTTCCACAGTGAAGGCCTGGCGTTTATATGGCGCTTCTGCCTTCTGGTGCGACCTATGGTGCGTGTAGTTGCCCAAGCCTAACAAGTTTGGCTTGTGTTGGACCAGCTGACCAGGTTTTATTGGCATCACGGTAGGAGTAGCGTCAATGGATTGTGGGTCACATCTAGCAAGTCTGCTGCTTTTCATACAGTACTTGTGCATCAGGACATACGGGCTCGAGGAGGGATTTGGCAAAGCCTGGATTTGCCTTTCCATAATTCAGACTTGGTCTAGCTTTCTTGTGTACTCCCTCCGGTTTAGTAAATGATGTCGTTTTAAGGTTGTCTTAAGTTAAATGTTTTAAATTTTAGCTATAAATAAATTCTGTTGGGTTGAGTTTGTAAATATGAAAGTGATATAAGTAGATTCAATATATTGACTATATTTTATAAATATTTTATAATAAAAATAACGATTAAAGTTGTTTTTTGAGACTATGTTACTGTCTAAAACAATGTCCTTCGACGTCCTTTAAAAAATCGGAGGGAGTACTCCTGTAATTAGAAAGTCTTTTTTACTCTAATCAACTACTCCCTCCGGTTTCCAAATATATGTCGCTGGAGCCTTGGAACCTGAGGAGCCTAAAGGATGTCGTTTTGTATTTTTTGCTCCAATCTGAACTACTCTACCCTTCATTTATTTTGCATGCGCATTGGAACAAGGCGCCGCTGCTCCGCTCAATTTAATTCGCGTCGCTTGGTGCTTCGCTTTCTTGCTTGCTAGTACTAGTACTACTAGGCGCCGCTGGTTGCTCACAGGACTAGGAGCCCAAGCGCCAGGAGCTGCACGTTTGCCTTCGACCATGGGCATGTTCGGCTGGTATTAAATTCGGTTGATAAGTTAGCTGAAGCTGATTTATTGTGAAAGAAAAATACTGTAAATTGTAGCTGATAAACCGGCTGATAAGTTCAAGCGACGCCGAGCGCCTCCACGCCCGCCTCGACGAGCGCCGTCGAGCCCGCCTCCACGTCTGCCTGGTGGTGTCGTGGAGGAGGAGTGGCACGGCGACCGGCTCATCCAGGTGACCGGCAGCACCGCATAGTCCAAGAAGCAACACGGCCGATGACACGGCTCTCCCAAAAATTTCTTCTGTATTTGAATCACATTAACATCCCCAGCCTCCATAGCTTCAGTCCACGTACTCTCCACCTTTTCCCAGCATCCCTCCTCCTAACCATTTCGCCTCAAATTTGGGAAGAACATCATGTGCGAAACAGCTACTACAACTCTCCTTTTCATCGCAATCTACCGTTACTGGCCTATGATCAGAATGTCATGGATCACCATCTATAACTCGCACCAACGGAAAGAAACCTCTCCATTCATTACATGCAACAGCTCTATCAAGTCTTTCTTTTATGTATCCTGCAGCCCTGTAATGATGATTCCTCCAAGTGAAGATGTCCCCAACGCATCCTAAATCCTCAAGGCCACAATCTTCCAGGGTGTTCCTGAAACGCTCCATGCATGATGCAGCGCTAGGCTGCCCCCCTTCCTTCTCACAGCCAAAGAGAATTTCATTGAAATCTCCCAAACACAGCCATGGTTTCCTGTACAAATTATTTAGAAAACGTAACAATCGCCATGTTTTCTCCTTTTCATCTGCCTTCGGCTCACCATATATCCCAGTGAGCCTCCATACCAACCCATTCTCCTCCGGCACTAGTGCATCTATATGATATTTTGATAGACTCTTCACCGTTAGATCCACATCTCTCTTCCAAAATAGAGCAAGGCCACCACTATAACCTACACAATCCTTCGCTGCTACATTTGGCATTTGCAAAATCCAACGAAACCTTTTCTATTCTCCTCCAATCCATCTTTGTTTCAGATAGGAAAAGAATGTCCGGGGATTCGCGCCTCTGGAGGTCCAGAAGCCCTCGAACTGCCGAGGCATTCCCCAGGCCTCCAGTTCCAAGCTGTTATCCTCATTGGGGCCCGCGAGGCTGCTGTAGCAGCCCCGCGTTCTCTTTTTTCATCTTCTTAGACCCATCAGAAACCTCATTTGCACCCAACGTTACTGAAGCAGTAGGTCCTCTTGTGAATGGCACTAGGGCCAAAGGATCCTCACCAATGTCCATGGTATTTCCCACCTCCTCTAAATTATTTTTAAATAAACCCTCATCCGGCTTCCGTTTTTTAGAGATGGAGTCTATTTCTTTGCCATGTGTTGGAAAAAGCTCCAAAGCTATATCATCTGGGCCTTGTTTAGATTGCAAATTTTTGCAATCTGGACACTGTAGCACGTTTCGTTTGTTTTTGACAAACTTTGTCCGATCATGGACTGACTAGGCTCAAAAGATTCGTCTCGTGATTTACAACTAAACTGTGTAATTAGTTATTTTTTACCTATATTTAATGCTCCATGCATGCGTCCAAAAATTGATGTGATGGAGAGAGAGTGAAAAAACTTAGAATTTTGAGGCAATCTAAACAAGGCCCCGGTAGTGTGCCAATTACTGTAGATCCTTGATTTTGGGCTGGCGAAGACACTACTAAGTCATCATCATCTCCCTCTCCATTTCTATAATTTCTATTGCTGGTCTCATTCGTTTTTGGAACAGATTGCTTGCTATCATGGCTCCCCCGTGCTCCTGAAGAATTGCTTTTTCTAGATGTGGTGTCTGCTGGGCCTAACCATTCACCATGATTCTTGAATCTTTTGTCCTCAGGTGCACGCAATTTTTCACTATATGGCAAATTCCCATTCTCATCACGGATGGCAGGCTTGGGACACTCGATTTTTCAGTGGCCAATAATGCCACATGAGAAACAAAAATATGGAACTCTCTCATACACCACATCATACCATTCCTTCCTCTGTCTCCTGGATGAAAACACAGATACTCCTCTAGCCAATGGCTCATTTATCGGAATAATCACCCTCGCTCTTAGTTCCTTTCCCACTGTTCTTTTTTGTTCATCCACATAAACTTTTAACACCTTTTTTCCAATCTTGCTTGCAAGCTCATAGCACCATTTTTCATTCCGTAGGCCAAAAGGGAGATTCAAGATGTTGATCCAAATAGCCAATTCGTCAAAAATTACATCGCTTGGCCGCAGATCACAATTAAAATCTTGTAAAATCACAGCTTGACGCCCTACAGCTTGGAGGCCTATAAACCATGGGGAGCCCTCAAGAACTCTGTTCTTGTCAACTTCGGCATCAAATTCAGCAATGAAAAGGTTGTCTCCCACCATTCTCATCTCCAAACCCCTTGGGTTACCCCAAGCTGGTCGCATAGCAGACATGATGGTTTGCAAATGAACTAAATCGGGTGCCAGAACCTTCCCAATCACTGCATGCTTTGCCACCGCTAAATCAGCATCTTCAGTATCTTCCAAAACTAGTGTTTCCTTGCAACTGCAGGACGAGATTGGAGGAGCTAAAAATAAAGTGATGGAGTCAAGCTAGGACGTGAGGCAGTGGGGATGGGCGGCACCGGCGGTGTCCACGAACCGGGAGACGGAATAGACGAGTCGAACAGATTACACCCAGGTTTCAGCGGTATCAGATTTTTGTGGCGTGATGTGTTTACAGTGGAGACAAAACAAACAGAATCTAACGTTTTTAGTTGCCGCTGTAATTAGATACCATTACAAAACATCCAACCAAACACTATGTAAATGAAAGACTAGCAATGATAAGTTTCAATCGATGTGACAGACAAACCTCAAAATAACTACATATGTTTCTCAAATCTCAAATATATAAACAGCCAAACATGATTGCAGAGGAGATGGGAGTATATCAAAACTCTCACCAATGTTTTTACCTTATGAGGTTAAAACACAACTAGTCAGCTGATGCGGTGGCAAAAGTGGTTGTTCACCGGATGCACTGGCAGGCAGCTCCTCGGAAAGGGGAGGCTGCTGCAATTGCTGTTGATAGGTGCCATAGTCTGAGTGTGTGTCATAAGGGAATGTGTTACAGGCAGGGAGTTGCTCTGAATACCCAAGGTAGCTGGTTCCAGCCCATTTGTTGAAGCATGGCTGGGCAGCCTGAAAGCATAGGCAACAACTTTACTGTAAGATGACGGGAAAATGGAAACATCGGCAAATATTACGAGAGTATAGCATTGCATAGCAAACAACGAACTCAGATTTTTCAATTTATCCAAATGGTATAACTGTTTTTAGACTTCAATTTTAAAAACGGCTCCCATGTTTTTTTTCAGAAAAAAAAACATATGATGCTAGGACATTGCAGAAAACGTCATGTTTGATCCATTGACCCTTACAGCACATATGACAATATTACTAGTAAAAATATGCATCTTGAAGAAGTATGAATTGGGTGTTTGGTTGGAGTGGGTTGGTGAATCATCCAATCCTAATTCCGAACCTAACAAAATACATTGGTTTCAGGACACGAATGGAATGGGTTTATCCCATCTACATAACTTGATATATCCAACCAAACACCCTTTAAAATGAGGAGATGGTCTGTTCCAGAACTACAAGTCCACATAAGAGATGGGGTATATCATAAGCATCACCAATGTTTATACCTTAAGATGATGAAACTCGACGAGCGGCTTGTTGGATGGTGATGGCTGCTGTTCATACACAGGGTTGAGGGGCTGATCCAGCTTGTTGACGCATTGCTGCGGTGTCTGAAACATCATATTTTAGTTGAAATCTTGCCATATGATGATGAGAAAATGACATGGGGAACAGGGCAAATGGAATGCATACCAGATTGGTTTGAACAGGTTGGACTTCTGAAACATGATCATTCTGAACAATACTGTGGGCTTCATTTCGTGCACGCTTGGTTCTCTCAGTAGCCATGGCCAGGATACTGAAAAACAGCATGTCATATTAACCAAAATACCTCCAATATCAGGTAAAACTAATAATTAATAAGCAAATATAGGTATCAGAATGCAAAGAATGGACCTAAACAGGATCATTGGTGCAGACATGCCTAAACAGAACAGAGGTCCCATAAAATAGAAGAAACTTGCCTGCGCAGCCGCTTCATTTCAGGGTGCTTTTCAATATGTGGAAAACACTCTGGCCTGGTAAACAGTATCACATCAAATTTAATTAGCAAATATATAGCTATGAAAACATACAATAAATGAACTAAACACGACCATTGCTTGGTGCACACAGGCTTTATAAAAGAATGGAGTTCCCCTGACTAAGAAACTTGCCTGTAGAGCAATTGTGGAAGTGGCCTGACAGCATGGATCTACACACAGAGAGGAGAGAGTGAGTTGGAAACAATTCTTTGAAATATGGAATTATGCAAAATACTTACCGATGCATTCTTTCTATTATTGGCAGAGCTCCCCACCCGTACCATCTTGCGACATGCCGAGACTTCAGTGCCTACAGAAACAGCAAAATTCATAAGTAATGCCACAGTCACATTCAGGGAGCTGCAAAGATGCAGGAAACGCACGAACAAAGATGGTGGCATTGTCAGATGGCTGGTTGTCAACTGGGACCAAACACAAAAACAAGATGAAGGAAAGGATTGGAAGCAGCATGTTGGTACCTTCAGATTCGAGCAGGTAACAACTAACTGGAGTCATGTTCAGATACCGGGACAATGTACAGGGACGGAAAACTTGGTTGGAAGGGTCATGTTCCTCGAAAGAACACGCTACAGCTGCTTTGACAGTCCTGTTTCCGAGGTCAACAGCCACCACCCATCCACTCCGATCATCAGGTTCCGCCACGGACATGAGGTAAAGAATATCGTCACCATCAGTGCGCAGGGTGGGGAAAGCCGAGTACAGGTCACTGAGTGTCAACTTCCCGCAAGCTTTGCCCCTTAGCCTTGACACCAATGCCGAATGCTTTGTTTCGTCGACCAAGATGTCATCACCACTAAGAGTGCATTCCTTGCGCCAAAAGCCGTCCGACTCCAGGTCACGGCCCTCCAACAATCCCTTGACTTGGGCTTCTTCTCATCCACGCCATTGCGCTTGAGCGACGTGATTAAGTCTGAATCGTACAGAACATCCTTGTCAGTGGGGTCGTTAGGCTCTTCAGTCATGTGACGCTCCATCTCAAAAAACTTGAGCACCCCACTGAAACATACCAGATCCCGGAACGACCTTGCAGCAGCTCTTGGGATTGGGAGGGATGCTTCAACTTTGTCTCTGTTTCCAGGCAATGGCTCGGGCAATGGTATGAAACGAACAACAGGGGGATCTTGACGCACGTCACATGCCACCAAGCCGCATGAGAAATCAACCCAACCTAGTGAGCCTTCTCCAAGCGCGATCACCTTATCAGGTATAATCTTTCGTACTCCGGGGCATGGATTGAGCAGTGTCCTAGTGCTCCATGCTTTGGTCTCGGACGAGTAGATTCGAAGGTGATAGTCTGCGGGGGCATCAGGGGCGTCACATAGAGCGGCCAGGAGGTAATGATCCCTGTGTTCACCGAGCACAACGCCGAACTCCGAGACCCTGCCCAGAGCGGTGCCCATGTTGTCGTCGTCGGGAAGCGGAACCCATTCGAGCGACGGCGACTCGCCGTAGCCGCCGGCCTTGTACATGAAGTACTCATCCAGTCATCCTTACCGTAGTGGGAGTAGAACTGGGCGCGCAGAAGGACAAAGCGGCCGTCCGCGCCAACCACGTGAGGCAGAACAGTAAAGTCGCGGGGCAGCATGTAGCAGTACACGGAGAAGCAGGAGATACCCGGTGGCTCCGCCATCCAGAAGGAGACGGATACGACATAGTCTCCCTTCGATGTGGCAGTGGCCGTGGTCAGGTTACTTCTATTGCCGTTGGTGATGTAGGCCCGCTGACGGTCGAGGAGAATCGAGCCCAGCCGGCGGGAGGCGTTGGCGGCGGCGCCGGGGGGATTGACGGAGTCGATCTGCCCGGACGCCATGTAGGTGGGGTGGGATCGGATTCTGGGGATTCGGTGCGTCGCTTGTGGGAAATTGGGAGAGGCAGTCGGCGAATTTGGAGATTAGGGTTCCAGTCCCTCTCTTTTGTGGGTGACGAACGTGAACTAGATGGATAATAAAAGGGGAGACTTTTACCTGTGTGCCATTATAAAAGATCGTCAGTGCTGGGTAGCGCTACTCAACTTTTCGTGTCATTCATGCCACTTCCGTCGTTTGGGCAAGTCGTCAAATTGTAGGGTGAAAAAATCTGAAAATGCCCTTAAGTTCAAATATGTTATTAATTTTTTTGAGCATCTTAATGACTTCAAATGAAAAACTCAAAACTAGAAAGTTGCTCGTCGAGATCTATAATTTTCATATAATTTTTTTTTCATTTAATTCCGAAAAAAAATGATTTGATATGATTAATATATCTTAGAAAATCATATTATATTTTTTTTATGGAATTAAATGAAAAAAAAAATTATATGAAAATTATAGATCTTGACGAGATCTACAACTTTCTAGTTTTGAGTTTTTTCATTTGAAGTCGTTAAGATGCTCAAAAAAAATTAATAACATATTTGAACTTAGGGCATTTTGCTTTTCACACTGCAGCTTGACGGCGTAACGTCCCAAAACTAACGGAAGTGGCATGGAGGACACAAAAAAGTTGAAGTAGTGGCGCTGAAGACCGCTGAATTTTTTCAGGGGCACACAGAGGATTACGATCTTTTATAATGGCATACAGGAAAAAGTCTCTAAAAGGGGCTCTCTCCTTATCGGCTTGCAAGTCGGAAGTCGGTGGAAACTGGTAACTGGGTCGGATTCGAAGGGCGGCGTGTTCGTTTGCTGGACGGGGGCACGGGTGCCTAATGTTTCCTGGGCCCGGAAGAGAATCGCTTCTCCTTATATTATTAGATAGGGAATGCTTAACATCTTATCAAAAAAATGCTTAACATTGTATTACCGATCTTTTTCAAATGTATGTGTCTGTCAAGCCCCCCCCCCACACACACACCCCACATCGCGTCGTCTCCGTACATAGGCGACTCGGGGGCGACTCAGCCCCTGTTTCCGAAACTCCCCACCACACCGAAGCTCCCCGGTCGCCGTCGCCGCTCTCCGGCTAGCAGCGGTGGCAGCCGCTGCGGCTCCCAACAAGGCTACCCGCAGCAACAACCCTCCCCCTTCCTCCTCTCCTTCCTTCCTCTTCCTCTGTTGAGCTCTGGATTTCCGGCATGGTGGACGTCCGGCAGCGTGCAAGATGACCAGAGAAAGGGCGGATCAGGGTCTCTAGGTCCAGATCCGGCGTTCCCCGCCACGGATCTGATGGCCCAGGCGCCCCAGGTCCTCTCGCCCATCATCCCGACGGGACACCCGGCGTCGGCGACGCAGCTGCTCGAGCTGGTGGCCGTCGCGTCAGAGGGGGAGGGCAAGCCACGGCTCCATGGTGCCCGACGCCTGGTCGTGTCGGCCATGTCTAGCGCCCCGGGTCGTGGATCTCCTCCTCCAAATTCGCCTGCTTCACGGTGGCTTTGACCTCTCACAGTGGCCCGCGATGGCATGCCCGCACCTGCTGGTACAGTGGCGGCTGGGGCTCTGACGGCGACCAGCAACGGCGTCACTCGAGCGGTCAGCTGCATATTAATAACCGACTTGGACTCCTTTTTATGAAACAAATGTGCAATCATTCAAGGTCAGTTAACATGGACCTCCAAAGCAAATTAGCAAAGAGGCTTTTACATGTATGCCATTAAGAAAGTTTGTAAGTTACACAGAAGCCATTAAAAAAGATGACCACACACAAGTGCCACTGCTCTAAACTTCTTTATCTTACACGCCATTCCGTCCAGGTTCTGTTTCTTTTTCGCCGTTTGGTGCGGGACCGACCAGTGAAATTGTCCATGTTACCCTTCACGCAAAAAATCACTCCCTCTCCTTCGTCCGCCCACAAAAACATTTCTCCCCCTCCGATTGCTACTCATCGCCCTGCCTCCCCCGTTTCCTTTGCCTCCGCTCTCCCCTCTTTCTCTTCCGCGCCTTCTCCTCCATCTAGGGTTTCGCCTTGCCCTTGCCTGGCCGCCCGAGATCGAGGATGATGGTGATGTCACCAGCAGCAAGCATGTGCGCCCGTCCCGAGCCCCATCCCCTCTAACTCGCACGCATGTGCTGTCGGATCTGGTCAGCTCGGCGCCCGCTGCCTTCTCTCTCTCTCTGTTCGTGTTCACCGTCTTCTCCAAGCGGAGCCTCGTGCTTGATGGTGCCTTGCTCGCCTCTGTAGGGGATCCATTTATGCCGGAGCTCTAGCGCGCGCCTACGCAATGCACGCTCATCACCGTCCCCGCGATCGGTGACCTCGTCTTCTACTTCCCCTAGGGACACATCGAGCGTGTACACCTCCTCATCTTCCCGCTCTTGCTCGCTCTCATTGAGCTTTAGCTCGCCCCCGCTCCCGGCGGCTGATTTTGGGTCTTTGGGGCTCTTAGGTGAGGCGTCCATGAATCAGGTCGCCGAGAACCAAATGCGCCTCTATGATCTGCCCTCCAAGTTGCTCTGTCGCGTGCTCAACATCGAGCTCAAGGTTCCCTCCTCTTCCCATCGTTTTTTACCCTCTCCCTGGGTTTTCGCTACCAATTCTGTGTCTAGCGTGGCCGCTTCCCCGGCGGCGAGCAATTCCAGGCCCGGTGCTTATGCATTTTTTGGGTTTTCCCAGGCGGAGACGGACACCGACGAGGTCTACGCGCAGATCATGCTTCTGCGTAAGATTTTTCTCGTCGGGTTAGCTGATCTTCTTTGTTCCGTTGGCAGGATATGACGCAGTCGTCAAAGGGTAACATGGACAATTTCACTGGTCGGTCCCACACCAAACGGCGAAAAACAATCAGAACCCGGACAGAATGACGTGTAAGGTAAAGAAGTTTAGAGCAGTGGCACCTGTGTGCGGTCACCTTTTTTAATGGCTTCTGTGTAATTACAAACTTTCTTAATGGCATACATATAAAAGCCTCATTAGCAAAACATATACCTGATGTCGTGCTTCATTTGGATCATCTAATCCTGCAGCCATGTAGGTCGATGTGGACGAAAAGATGGAGGAAAGAAGAGAAAACCATCCATTCAGCCTATGAAGCATTCCCTGGAATCATGGATTGGAAAAGATCAGCCGGATGGAAATCATGTAATGAATCTTAGAACATGAGACCAAGCCATGGACATCGTATTGCTAGAAATCATGCCCAATCACCTGCGCAAAGGAGAAGATGGAGGGAGAATAGAGGATCTAGGGGAGGAGCCATGAGAAGGAGGACGAGGAGGGGAAGAGGGTGAGGCACCGCCACGTCCAGCCGCCGAGCTGAGCCGCCGCCGCAGGGGTCCTCGAGCACAGGCACCTAGGGTTTCGTGGAGACCACACGCGGACCGGAGAGAGGAGGCACCGCCGAAGGGCAGGCATGCTGGCGGCCACCGGCGAGGCCCGCTCGCACCACGCCGTGCACGGGGATGGCCACCGCTGCGGCCTACGCGTGGTGCTACAACGTAGGCCGTCGTCGCCCCGGCAGCGCCTTGTGTGGTGAGACGACGACCTTGGGGCCCGTCCGGCACACCATCATGTCGGGAGTGAGGGAGAGGAAGGGGCGTTGGGGGCGGCGACGGGAGCGGGAGCGCTAGCGGCGGAGGCGGCGTCGGGTGTGGGAGGGAGCACGGGTAAGAAAAGGTGAAAGTTTTTTTTACTGGAAGGACCGAAGGAGAATCGGAAGGCGTTGTATATATATATTCGGTGGCCTAGCTCTGGAGCAAAAGCCGTAGAACACCGGAGAAGCAAAGGAAATCCAATGGAAGCCAAGAAAGAGTGGCAGAAACCGCTTCTTGCCGAATCCGCTCCTGACAATCACGGCCACACGATCGAAGATCCAACGGCTGGAAACAATCGGGGTGACGTGGCTGCTGCTTCTGCTCAAGGAGCTAACGCATTCTTTAGAGGAGAACATGTGAAAAAGGCAGCTAATAGTAGTATTAATGTAGGTTACGTGATAAGACGAGGTGCTTGACAACAAGAATCACTGTACGTAGCTATCGTGTAGAGAGCTAGCACATCAACGAAGAAAACAATGGCCGGATCGGAATCAATCTAGCGCCATCTTGTATCATCATCGGAAAGCGCCGGCCCCCGGCAAGATAGAAGACGCGCGCGGCTGGGGCCAGGGCGATGGATGGAATGGGTGGATTGATGCCTGTCGCCTGCCGGTGGCAACCACCCACAGCTGTCCGCTTCCTGAGCCGTCCCTTTCCCCCCTATTAAACTCGCTCGCCGTTGTCCCTCCCTCCACCGCTCCGGCGGGTCCCCTCCGCCTCGCGACTCATTATTTCCACCTCTCCTCCCGTCGCGCGCGTGTGGCATCTGGCGTGGCGACTGGCGTCAGGCCTTGCTCATCGCCTTGCGTGCGCCTACTGCGCCATGTGCTCCCCGTGCGCCTAGCTAGAGATTGTGTGTGTGGATTGTGTGTGTGTAGACGAGTGGTTAGAGAGACCGGCCGGCCGGCCGGGGCCGATCGAGACTAGCCGCAATCACTCGTCGGCTGGGCCGGGCCGATCGAGCAGCGATCGGCCAGCACGGCTGGTTTTTGGTCAATATATATTGCCCCGGACACTAACGCTCTTATCCTTTCCCCTCGTCTCCACCCGTTTGCACCCGCGCCGCGACCGCGAGCAGCAGCGAGCGACACCAATTACTCGCACGCACGCTCGATCATCTCTCCCTTTCCAATCTCTCCGGCCCCAACCAGAATTAACTAATCTTCTGCTAGAAATCAAGGGAGACAAATTAATCAAGCCTGATTGATGTGCAGCAATGGCCGCGATTGGGGAGAAGGAGTGGTTCTTCTACGTGCCGAGGGACCGCAAGTACCGCAACGGGGACATGCCCAACCGGGTGATGGCATCGGGATACTGGAAGGCCACGGGCGCGCGCCGACCGCACCATCAAGGCCGACAACAGCAGCCG